GGGACGAACTCTGTATAATTTCTACGCGAAAATGCTCGCACTCGTCGTCGCTCCATGGCCATCGTCTTCGCTTTATCTCTTCTCTACGGATCTCACGTGGGACGGACAGTGTGCCGTATCTTTTTGTCGCGTTGTTTGAACGCGGAAAGTTCAAAGGAGAGGCTGCACTTCGATTTTCGTTTTTTCATGCGTTTTGTCGTGAGAGAGAGAGAGAGAGAGAGAGAGAGAGAGAGAGAGAGAGAGAGAGATAAAGAAAGAGAAATAGAGAGAGAGAGAGAGATAAAGAAAGAGAAATAGAGAGAGAGGGAGAGAGAGAAATTAAGAGAGGAAAAGAGTGAAGAAAACAATAAATATATGCACAAAGGATGATATTGATCTCATCGAGCTGAACTTAAGACGTACAGCCCCCTCCAAAAGTATTACGACACTTATACTACATTAGATAATTACAAAAATCTGATACGAAATTGTTTTTTCTTTCTTTTTTCAATTTACGTTAAAGTTAATTATTACATTAAACTGTAACAAGTGTATAGATTATAAATTGTATGTTGTCATTAAAAAATAACGTCAATTTTATAAAAGCAAATTAAGCTTCCTTTTCGTCGATATATCCACCGCGTTTCTTTATCACTTCTTGGACTAATCTCGGCGTTCCTTTTGTCATAATATTTTTCTACAATAATTCCTTTAATAATTAAAAAATAAAATTTTAGAAAATTGAAAAATAAAACTTTTATAAAATTAAGGATCATCTGCGAAACAGATGAAGTTATCATTGCAATTGCGAACGCAAAGCAGACCAGTGGTAAAAAAAGGATTTGATTGTGCGACAATGCCTACGCCTTTGGGGCGTGACGATTGATCGAGAGCCGCGTAGCTTACATAAAATAATATGTTGCTTGAATGCAACGATCGAAGGTAGCCTTCGTCGGTGCAGTCGCCGATATTTGTAATTTGTTGCGCGCTACAGGAATTTCATAATTTAACCGGAGCCCGCAAATGTGCAACAGCGAACTGCGAATTTTCGTCCGGTAAAACCAACGCTCGAAACCGTGAAGATAAACAACAACGAACGTGATTGGCGAACTTATTTGTCTGTTATACGATCAACACGGTCAGCTTCGCCCACTCTTTTGCACGAAAACGCTCCGATTGATTTTTTTCTGGTCCAAATAGCGTCAACAGTCGGTGATTTTGTAACGAATATCAACAGGTTTGTCTTCGTAATCGTGTGTTCCGGTCACCGGATTGCGGCTTGTTTCACGTCTGTTCGATTCCTCGACAGGCGAACGTGAAATTGAAAAAAAAAAGAACCGTTTAAACGAAACGTTCGACGAACATTTATTTACAGCGATAGATGCAAAGTATTTCACGCGTAAATAAGCAGACGCTCTAGAACGATTTTACGAGATTTGTTGTTAATTAATAGACTGCGAGATGTTATGCACTTGAGCATGAAGTAATTAATACCATAATTAATACAAGGTATTTGTATTAATACGAGGTATTTGTATTAATTATTATAAAAATTGATAGCAATAACGAAAATTTTAAAAATGCCTTTCGTAGATCTCGGTAACTTAAATTTTATTTTGTTATTAAAAATAATAAGAGTTAATAATATAATATTATTAACTATTACTTGGAATGACAAATAAATAAAAATCTCTAGTTTTTTAACTCTTTATAAAATATAAAAAGTTTTTAAAAGAGTTTTAAATGTTTATATATATATAACTCTTTAAATAATATAATATATTATTAACTCTTACAGAGAGTTAAAAAACGAGAGATTTTTATTAATAATAATATATTAACTCTTATAAAGAGTTAAAAAACGAGAGATTTTTATTTATTTGTCATCTAAAAAAAAGTTCGTGTCATTTAGTTCAATTTTAAAATAGTTATTGCATTCTAAAACACTTTTATAGACCGCTATAACCAGCAACGAATGTTTCCTTCTCAGTTAGTTGCATCCCTTTGAATATTACACAAGAATCAAGAAATATCAGAGTGTACAGTAGTCGAAAAATAAACAAAGAAAAGTATACCTGCTCTTAGTCCGTGAATAAAAGATCTACAATCGTGATGCAGGTTATACAGGGTGTCCCAAAAATGTCTCGCAATCTGGAAGTGGCGGGTTCCTCGGGTCATTCGAAGCAACTTTTTCCTGTACAAAAGTGTTCTCCGAGACACCGTTAACGAGTTATTAACGAAAAACAGTGACCAATGAGAGGCGTCCTTGGCTAGCGCCAGGCGGCCGAGCCAATGAGCGGAACTGGGCTTCGCGCGCTGGTTGGCTAGGCCGCCTCGCGTCAGCCGTACTCGATTCTTATTGGTCACTGTTTTTCGTTAATAACTCGTTAACGATGCCTCGGAAAAAAATTTTGTAAAGGAAGAAGTTGCTTCAAATGATCCGAGGAACCCGCCATTTCCTGATTGCGAGACATTTTTGGGACACCCTGTATGCGAGCACAGTACAATGGTAAGTGTTGCAGCGTATGGCAGGGAAACGGTAGACCGCAACATTGCGTGTGGTTAAGCGGGCATTCATTTATGAACATTAGCGGCACTATGGTCCGCAGTGGCGGGGCTCCTCGCGTGTTTTCCACTTCCTACGTTCGTCATTATTAGCCACGGGGCAGCGCGCAGCAGGTAACGAGAGACGGAGAAACTCGTTATCGGTTCTCTCGTCGCGCTCTTCGCGCTGGTCGCGTGCTGCAGCATTTTTTTACGAAATGTCACGTGAACCGTGTCGTCGGAAATATTTTCGACGGTCGGAACGTTTAAACGTCCGAAATGAAAAATCGTTAAATTTGCGTGCAACGAGCCCGAAAAGTTATATCGGGCGCATCGCAACCGACGACAGGCGATTTCGGATAAACTCGAACAACAAATACGAGAACTTTCATGAGCTGATAAAACAGCTTCGCATTCATTGCAATTTTTCCTTCGATGTCGTCCGAAGGTCGTCAAATAGCATGTCGTTGAATTCGTCTCGACGTCGCCTACAATACCATCCAGTTAAAATTACCTAGTTTCGTTTAAGAATGTAACGTTGACCTTGTTTCATTATCGAAAATCAATTTGTCTAAAAATTTAGACAATTGCAATTTCTTGTCGATTAAATACTAATTAACTCTGATGGGAAACATTTTTTCGTCAGACCATCGGAAGCGACTGAGAAATCGATTGATAACTTGATGACTAATTTACGACTCACCCTATATAATATAAATTTCCTTCATTTGCATGAAATGATTACAATCGAAAAAGTTCCAATCGTCTTAACTGAACGAGAATTGTGCCGAAAGAAGTTAAACGGTTTAGTCCGTTTCATTTGTGCTAATTATGAAAAATTTGATCTACCTTAATCTTTATATAATTATGACAACTGGCACTGTAAGGGTTGAAAGAAGTACGTAATAATTCGTAATAATTATTAGAAAATAGTAACAATTTAATATAATAAAATATATATATAATAATATATAATAATATATAAATATATAAAAATATAATAATAGTAATAACTAGCCCGTTTAAATAACAATATATAATATATACTGTATAATAATATATAATAATATAATATTAATTATATATTACATAATATATACTGTATAATAAAAATAGTAATAATAGCAACAACTAGCCCGTTTAAATAACAAATAGAACACCGTAACGTCACAGATGATACGAGACAAAAATAATCAATTTCGAATACTCTATAACCACCCTCTGGAGGGGGCATCCGCGTGCAAAGGGTTAAGTACGCAACCGTTCCAACAATTTGAGACGGTGCTATGAAATTTGGACGAAACCAGCTGCCGCACAATCACCAGAGAAGGATCCCAGTTAGAGCGTCCTCTCGCGGTCCGGCCGACGCAGCATGGTTCATTACATTGTACAATTCTCATATTAGCAGTCACTTGGCGTTCTAAAAGTTCGTTTAATTGCAGGTCGGCGTGAAAAATGCGCCAGCATCGTTTATACACGGGTAGCCAGTAAATAACCGAATTATACAAGCCAAAAACAACTTTCACAGACACATACTTCTAAAAATGTTTTATACAGGATGTCCCAAAATTATGGTATTTCCGGGAAATTGGAGATTCTTGAGGTCATTCGAAGCAACTTTTTCCTTTACAAAATTTTTCTACCAGGCACCGTTCATGAGTTAATAACGAAAAACACTGACCAATGAGAGGCGAGCTTGGCTGGCGGATGAGCGGATGAGCGCGCGAAGTCCGGTTCCGCTCATTGGCTCGGCCGCCACGCGCCAGCCGACCTCGCCTCTCATTGGTCACTGTTTTTCGTTAATAACTCGTTAACGGTGGCTTTTCCTTGTAAAGGAAAAAGTTGCTTCAAATGGCCCGAGGAACCCGCCACTTTCGGATTGCAAGACATTTTTGGGACACCCGGTATATACAGACAGAATATACAGTATCAGACTCTGTACAGTACATATCAGACTCTGCCGTCCAGATAAATAGCCTCGCGCAGAATTCAGCCGTACGTCAAAGGTTAATGTCGTCGTAACGAAGCAGCGAAAAAACAGAGTCCATCCGAAGAGAGTCGAAACTCGCTGAGAACGTTCCCTAGGGCGTCACCGATCGCAATTCCATCTGGCGCGATGGTCCGGCCGTTCCGTGTCGCCTCTGGAAGCCGGCGACAGCCGATAAATAATACAGCGTTGTCGCTGTTGTCCCCCGCGACGGCATTTTTTCGCGAGGCTCGGCCCGCCACGTCGTCGCAATAATCGGCGCACGTCCGAGGAGCCGTCGCGCTCCGTTCTCCTCGCCGAACGACGGGGGAAAGAGCCTTCTGCCATTCCCCGCCTTCGGCCGGATATTCCATTTTCCGCGAAATAAAAGAATCCCGGTCCCCCGGCGATGATTTATGCCCCCGACGACCCTCCTACGTCCTATTAAGCCGGCCGCGGAACCATTCAATGGTCCATGCCCCCTCTTCTTCATCACTTTGTCTGCTTTCAGGTGTTCGACAAGCATAATCGCGGATACATTACCGCGTCCGATCTGCGAGCTGTCCTGCAATGCCTCGGGGAGGACCTGTCCGAGGAGGAAAGTACGTATTCGATTTTTTAGAGAATTGTTGGTAGTCGGTTTTGTGTAGATTGTTATGCTCGTTGCACTGTGGCAACAAGTCAGACTTCAGATAATTTGTTAGGTAATCGAGTAAATGGGATCTCTTTATTCGTCTTTTTCTTCGCGACAAAATTATGAGACAGGAGCATCGTGAACAATTTTATTTGAATATGGAAAAATTTCTGATTCTGTTAGATTTATTCTATTGTTTCTAATTCTATTAGAATTCTAATTCTAATTCTATTAGATTAATTCTATTCTTCCTAATTCTATTAGAATTCTAATTCTATTAGATTAATTCTCTCTCTCTCTCTATTCTTTCTAATTCTATTAGAATTCTAATTCTGATTCTATTAGAATTCTAATTCTGATTCTATTAGAATTCTAAATCTCTCTGATTCTATTAGAATTAGAAATTCTAATTCTATTAGACTTAAAAATTCTAATTCTAGTAGATTAATTCTACTATTTATAATTCTATTAGAATTCTGATTCTGAGAGAGAGAGAGAGAGAGAGAGAGAGAGAGAGATTCTATTAGAATTCTAATTCTCTGGTTCTATTGGAATTAGAAATTTTAATTCTATTAGACTTAGAAATTCTAATTCTAGTAGATTAATTCTATTATTTATAATTCTATTAGAATTCTGATTCTGAGAGAGATTCTATTAGAATTCTAATTCTCTGGTTCTATTGGAATTAGAAATTCTAATTCTATTAGACTTAGAAATTCTAATTCTAGTAGATTAATTCTATCATTTATAATTCTATTAGATTTAGAAACCCTAATTCTAGTAGATTAATTCTATTATTTCTAATTCTATTAGATCTTCGTAAACCTCTAGACTTCGGTAAACCGGCAACTTAAACACCGCGAAAAGAGATTTTTGTTTCCAATTGTTGTTGTTATTAGGTGTGTAGTGTTTATAGCCAAATAGTGCGTGCAGTACAGTTTGATTATAGTAGTTATTAGTTTGACTATACAAAATACCGCACGGAAAAAACCTAAAAGCAACGGCGGTTTTATTTACGTTTATTTATTTTACAAGAAATTCTGATTGAAAAATATTTCTAATTTCAATAAATATTTTTAATAAATTCGTACGATTTTCTGCACCCTTTCAGAGGTAATAAATAATTGTGAACACGGGGAACAATCACATTACTTCACTGCTTCGTATTAGTGTATCAATTATCGCATCGAATGTCCTAACAAATACCGTGCAATTAACGATAGTCAATTTGCAGTAATAGGATAACCAATTCTGGACAACATCATATTCCCATCGAGCTATTCCATCATGTCAAGGGATAATTTAATTAACTCACTACTGACAAAGTCTCGTGCATACAGCGTATTGTTTTTTAACAATATGTTTCGAGAAGTTTGATACTTTAAAAATAAGTGTTTATTTAAGATCGATGTCGCTTTTTTTTATCTCGCTATTTTATACGATTTTATGATTTGTTTATATTATGTATATCTTTTCTGTTGCAACTCGAATGACCGAGTTCACTTTATGGGGACAGACAGTCGTGTACAAGACACGTACGATTATAAATTGCTGTATCAATTTGTTAATGCGTCCGAAGAAATTTGTAAAATTAGAATGCATTTTTGGTTGATTCTTTTTCCCATGTTGCATCAATATTAGTGGTTAAATGGACCAAAACTGCATTCTAATTTTGGAAACATTCTAAATTTAGCAACAACTCCTTCAAAAGCATTAACAAATTAAGACAGCAATTTATATTTATAGATAAATAACATTGTCTGCTCAGCAAGGATAAATTAAGAATAACTTCTTCTTATTAATCCGCATGAAGATACAGATTAAAAGTGACATTCAAGATCATCTTTTGTATAGGCATATCACATGATTTATACAAGGTGGCCCGAAAATGTCTCGCAATCCGGGAATGGGAGGTTCCTGAGGTCATTTGAAGTAACTTTTTCCTTTGCGAAAATTTTCTCCGAGGCTTCGTTTACGAGTGATTAACAAAAACACACTGACCAATAAGAGGCGAGCTCGGCTGGCGCGCGGCGGCCCAGCCGACGAGTGCACGGAGCCAAGTTCCGCTCGCGGATTGCATTTTCGCTAAGGAAAAAGTTGCTTCGAATGACCTCAGGAATCCGCTACTTTCGGATTACGAGACATTTTTCGGACACCATGTATGTATATATGTATACGTACATATAAAGCTGACTGAATGATGTAAAGACATTGCATTAATAATCTACACATATGTATGCATCGGCCCGAAGAAGCTTAACGAGTATGTTTACAGTAATCGACATGCAGGACTTAAAGCTTTGGAAAACGTTACGTTAAGGCAGTTCCGCGCTAAAATCTACAGGTGCATTTACATAATCCCGTAGCTGAAAAGTACGCGCTGCGTAAACGGCGAAATGCTGCGGGATAACGCGCAGTCTTAAGCAGCAATGTACATACTTAAAACGACTCATTTGAATTTCATTCTCAGTCTGAAGTAGTACGTAAGCAGAATGTGTGCTCGTATTCATTAGCGGCCAATCCTGTCGGATTTAAGCCTCTTGAACACCTGAACAAATCAGATTTGTTTTAATAATATGTACGTTCAAATTATTCTATGTAATCAGGCTTGGGGTGGAGAAGTGTGTTACGTTGTAGTATTATT